ACGAGGACAGGATGTACCTTGAAAGAATCACCCCTAGTGACCTGCCTCCTACGACCACCTCCTACAAGCCCATTCAGCCAGAATTCCTCAACTGATGAACCTGATGATGAAGTTAACTCCTTAACAATCCACCCACCTGTCAATAAAGCCACCATCTTAGGAGCAAGCCTTCAACATAGGAGCCTCTTGGGGAATATATTGATCTTGTGGCTATGGCCAAATAGCTCACAAGAAGCCATTAAAAGAAGATGGGTTTGTTTGGGCTTACAATGTGGAGAAGGTATTGGTGTCAGGGGAGTGAGTGGCTAGTCATATTATATTTCAGTCAGGAAGAGAAAAACCAGAGAAGAAATAGGGCTGGACTATAAAACATCAAGACCCAAGCCCAGTGGGCCTCTTCCCTCAATGAAGCTCTATCCCCTACAAGTTCCAGAGCTTTCCAAATGGTACCACCAGCTGGGAGCCAACTGTTCAAACATATGCACCTCTGGGGGATATTTTATACTCAAATAACTACAGTGAGACACTATTATACTAAAAAAGATACAATCTACAAAACGTTGTCATTCCCTTAAATATTAAGAGAGAAGCTCTCACATAAAATGTTACCACAAGAATGTAAAGTATATTTTTTAAAAATTTAAGTTACTCCCTGCATAGGCAAGCATCAGGCATAGCTGGTTCTGTTCCCCCACCACTTCTGTCCCTACTTCTCTCTGTCCTAGTAGCCATCACTGGTATCAAAAGGTATATGAACACCAGAGACCTAAAGTATATAATTTAAGGGGTAATCCAAAACACAGATGGGCTATGGAAACAAAGGGACAGAGAAACAGCTACTGGCTGTGACTTGGACATCCCATTGGTGAACATTCTCTTTTCCAGGTATGTAGACCCATGACCAAGAGTAAACAGTCCAAAGAACATAACTTAATTTAGGATAATGACCATGTTGAGCTCATAGGTATCTTGACGGGAGCTTCTATGTTATTACAGCATTTCAGTTTCCAAGAAAAACTTTATGCAGCCAGAACAGCCACAGCTGGCCACTCATTGCTGATTTTCACATTCATTTATGTGAACATCCTTCTCCATGGAAAACTTTCTTAGCAGTCAGGGTCTATGGCTAGGAGTGCTGTTTGGAAAGCCTAAACCACACTCTAGTCTCCACAGAGTCAGACCATTTGTCCTCAGAGGTAGGCTCATGCAGTAGGTTCTTCTAGCTTGGAGTATTATTGTTCTAGCACCTCCTGCAAGTGGGATGTCCAGGAAGGGTCATGGTGGGTGGGTATTTTGAGATCTCCCTGGTTCTTCTGGGATAGAGCAATGGTAAGTTCTCCTGTATCTTGAGGCTTTATCTCTGCTTCCAAGCCTAGCCATGGAGGCTCCACAGCCAACAAGGCAGTCTGGTCTTCCAGAGCATGTCCATGTGCCCAAGCATCTATCTGGCATACCCTCCAGGTATGCCCTGGTCCAGACACTGACGATCTAGAAACAAAGAGAAAGTCATGCTCTAGATACATGTGGACAGATATGTGCCCGGAGAGGACATGACATCATGGAACCCTGTCCACCTCAGCAATTATATGTTATTAGGTCCTTTGCCAGAGAGAAGTCAGATCTTAATCTTACACTCAAGCTAGTTTTCAAGGGTGTGGCAGACCCAAGCAAGGGGCAGCGCAGACAAAGTGTACAACATTCCATTAGCCCTGATACAGTAAGTATTTTATATGCAGGACAGCAGCCTACAGCATCTTGGTTAACATGCCTCAGAAAGAATGAGATAGGGGGTTGGGGTGGGGAAGAGGTGGAAAGGTATAGTCACCTTCTAGAGTGCTTCTTCCAGGTAAAGATGTTGGGTGGGTACAAGCCAACTGACCTACACAGAGAGTTCAAAAGCTGAAGTAAGAGGTTCTGTTCTCGAGTCTTGTCCTATATGGATGAAGGCCAAGAGAAAAGAACATAGACCCGGAGTCAGGGGGGTTATGCCTGAGTCCTGACCTTGTGTACTGCTAACTGGTTTACATTAAAACGTACATGCTAGCAGGCTGGAGAGATGGCTCAATGGTTAAGAGCACCAACTGCTCTTCCAGAGGTCCTGAGTTCAATTCCCAGCACCAACATGGTGGCTTACAGCCATCTGTAATGAGATCCAATGCCCTCTTCTGGTGTGTCTGAAGACAACTAGAATGTTCTCATATGAATAAAATAAATAAATCTTTCTCAAAAAATGTACATGCTATAAAGACTATGTTTGGGGATGGTGTGATCTTTGTTACCCTGAACCTTGTTGCTACTGGGCTACAAACACCCCTAGATACAGAGAGTTGAGGGGAGGGGAGGCATGGGTCCCCAGGACTGGGGCTAAACTCCAATAGAACATTTTCCCAGGAGAAGAAAAATAGCCTTCCTTCTAGGACTGTATGCCCAGGAGCCAAACTAATGAGGCTTAGGGCAGTAGACACCTATCTCCGATTCCGTTCCTCCTTCAGCCAGCCACTCAGCTGTGGTCCTCATCCACTGGCACCCACTGAGCTCAACAATGCTGTCCTTCTTCATTCACGATCAGCCTTGTCCCAGACAGGGTGTACAAGGGCTGATAGAAGACATCTGCGAAGAATGGCAGGGCTCTGGCATTTGTCCACAGAAGTGCTGGGGTGCTGGGGTTGCAGGCAGGCAGACTCCTGTGTCCAGCTCTTATGCAGGTTCCAGGGATTCAAACTTAAGTCACCATGCTTGTGTGACAAGCACTTTACTCACTGAGACATGTCCTCAACTCTCTTTCTTAATTGTAACTCAGGCCCCAAGATAGATTCATTTACTCAGAACACCTGCACGAACAGTCCTCTATGCAAAAAGAGAAAGGAAATAAAGCTAAGATGAAAGGAAATTAGAATATACATTAAGAACATTGGCATGAGAAGAAATCCTTCCTGAAAATGTTTAGCATTTTTTTCCTTAAAAAGAAAGCCAGACCATAAAGCAAAACACACTTGTTAACAAACAAAACGCTCACATATCCAACATGTCAGCTTTTTCCAAGACAAGCTAACATTTTGCTCTGTCGGCTTTTCCTAATGCAAACATTTTATTTTTCCCAAGTCCTCGCTGTGGGAAACATTTACATATCCATCTCTCTGTGGCCCCAGGGTTTCCCTGGGCAGTGAAGTATGTGCTTGGTGGTTTCCGAGGCGCGGGCTGCTTCATTTTGCCTACCCCAGCAGATCTTTACAAATGACATTTTCCAGACATCCCGCCTCCAAAACACACTTGTGAGTTAGATGATGTAGAATCTTCTCAACCTTGACAACTGTCATCCCCGATTCCCTTCCGCAGCTAGCCACAGCTGTGCACCCGGTGGCGGGACAAATGAAAAATGGCTGGACCTTTATTGTGTTTGTTAGGTACCAACAGCCTAATCCCTACAGACCTACAGGTCTATGGATGTCTGCTCATTTGTTTTCATTAAACTGGTCTCTAGGCTGTTGCTGTGTTTGGAATAATATTGAACTGTGTGGGAAGAAGGGACTTGGCTTTGGGTCAGGCCTCAGTCTGGGGTCAGGCCTCCCACGGTGGCTGCTGCATTCTGGCCCCAGAAGCCAGATCTGCAACATAGAATTCTGCTCTTGGTTCTCCTAGAGCTGAGTACTGCTTGCTTCTGCTCTGGGGTCACTTATTGGCTTGATCCCATCCTTTCAGGCCTATGGCCCTTCCACCCCAACCCTACATGGGCTCCAGGCAAGTTTTAGTCCTTTCCTAAGTGTTTGAACTGATCAGGCAAACTGGAAGAGAGGTGTCACAGAACCATGTAGCTCAAAACCAATATATACCTGGAAGTAAGTACTGGTGTGGAAGTATTTACTGGTAGTAAAGGTAACGTTAGAACTGAGGACAGGACTGGAAAGAGAAAGTATGACTTTCCTAATTTTAATTTATGTGTATTTCATTTATTACTTTCTCAGTTGCTAAGTATGTGTTTTCCCTCTGTGCTACATGGTCAGCCCCAGAATCCACAGTGTCAACTTGTGGTGGTTGAATTGAATTGATATGACAGCTCTTACCATGGTTGTCAAATGACCCTTGGTCTCTCCAGAGCTCTAATTGATTGCTAGCAGCATCTTAGTTGGGCCATTAAGAAGTTATCTGTGAAATGGCCCCAGTGGCACCTTGGCTAGGGTATTGTGATTCTGCAATGTTACGGTAACTTGAGCTGCCTCCTGTGAATGACTGGTGCTTGCGATGGGGAAAATGGTAGCCTTTCTGGTTCCTATTTGATGGACCGATGATGCACAGGTCAGGATGCATTCTAGCAACATGATATCCGGGTTGTAAGATTTCCTCCTCTTCCTTTAGCAGTTTCCTAAATAGAATGAACCTGAAGGCATCCAGAAACTCCTGTCCCAGTATGCTTTGTGTTGGTTCCTTTCACCAGCCTGTCAGCTGAGGACAATATTACAGACATGATTAACCATAACCTACATGGAATATTGCCTGCTGATTTCCTAGGGTCCGTAGGATTCTTGTTAATGCCGTACAAAAAAAAGGTTACAGAGGGTTGCAAGGTAGTTCAGTGGATAAAAGTGTTTGCTGTGTTAGCCTGGTGGCCTTAGTTCTACCCCTAGAAACCATAGAAAGGTGGAAGGTAAGAAGCAGTTCCAAAGTGTTGTCTTCTAACTACCACACATGCACTGTGGCATATGTGTGCCCTTACAAATACATCATGCACACACACTAATAAATACAAATATGGTGGATGTATGGGTGTGTGTGTGTGCCTCTAGTCATGATGGGAGTTGATCTTTTTGCTGCTTAGGGAGTCATATTTTCACTTCTCTGGCTTGTTAATGTATAGAGGGTGTGGTTCATTTGATGAGATTTAACTTCAGCACATTCAGTGTGGGTTCCCTTAATTTGATTGTTGGGTCATGTGCTCCTTCCAGACCCATAGAGATCTAGCACAGTGGTTGTGCACACACTCACTTCTTACTCTTGTCTTGCAGGCTCTGTGGTTACCCTCCTTTTTATGATGAAAATGACTCCAAGCTGTTTGAACAGATCCTCAAGGCAGAATATGAGTTTGATTCCCCCTACTGGGATGATATCTCCGACTCTGGTGGGTATCCTATGGCCTTTATATCCTGACAACTTAACGTAGAGATTCAAGGACCCTGGGACTCAGAATGGCCCTGAGGCTTCTGTCTTCTTCTCCTGGGGTTACTGTAACAAAATACCACAGGCTGTGTAGCTTAAATACCAAACATTTATTTTGCACAATTCTGAAGGCTAGAAGTACTGGATCAAATCCACTGCATGTCTGATGAGGGTCTGCTTTCTAATTAATTCATAGGCAGCTGTCTTCTTGGTATCTTTGCATATGAAGGGGGAGGCAAGGGCTTCTGAGTCTCTTTCATAAGAACACTCCTGTCTTTCATGAGAGCCCTGCATATAGGACCCTAAGAACTTCCCAAAGGTCTACTTCAGATGCCTTCATCATGGGAATAAGGATCTCAACAAAAGAATCGTGGTCTCCACAGGCATTCAGTCTATGGCCGCTCCTGAGGATGCTCTGTGAGCTAGCTACATCTTTAGGCTTGACTTGGAGGATATTCTTGCTACATAAAGCAAGGGATGTGGACTTGCTCATCTAATCTTCCTCTTCCTGATATGGGTACTCAGGGGTGAAATGTTATTAGCTGGCAGTGGATGGGTACCACGTAGGAGCTGAGTGTTAGAAGTCTGAACATGGGCTCACATACCCAGTCCTCAGAATGACCCAAGAGATGGGTATTTACATTATTCATATGTGACTGATGATGGAAACTCAGGCTCTGGGGGTAAATAAAATAACCTGCCTTAGTTTATAGAGTCAATATCTAGCAGAGCTGAGACCATAAACCCTAGTTTTCTTGGAGTCTACATTTTTATGACAAGACTATATTTCTGAAGTCACATATCCTTGGTAAAACATCCTTGCATAGAGCAGTCATGGTTTGCATGATGGGGCTTTCATGACTGAGGCCATAATTTTATTGTCTAGAGCCCACGTTTAGGGCCACAGTGCACCACACTGAAATACTTCCAGAGAGGATCATCAACCTTTCCAGGGGATAAAGACCAAAGGCAAGCCTAGGTGAACTTGCAAGAACCATAGAAGGAAGAAGGGAGGTGAATGGCCCTATTTGTTAATCTGTTACCCAGATCATTTTTATTATTTGTGTAATTTGCTTCTAATTGGAATCCCCTTGCCTGCTTCCTCAACCTTCCAAATCCTGGATCCAGGCTACCATTCTACAGGTTCCTCAAACAAACCTTGAAAGAAATACTGGACTTCTGAGCTTAGAAGCCAGAGGCTTCCTCCAAAAGCTGAGACCTATGTGTAGCAAGCTGCCATTATAGGACACAGGGTTCAAGCTGGCATATAGTTTCAGCTTTTGGTTCTATGTCCCTGTCCCTCCCATTCTCACTGGCCTTCTCTGAGCTTTGCCCTTTCCATGGTGACCAAGCCCCAGGATACATCTAGCTGTTGCTTTCTAGCTTCTAACTCTCTGAGGTGACAGCTCAAGTATAATGCAGATGCCCCTCTGGGTATACCACCCCAACATATAGCAGGTTCTGCCCCCTGCCGCCCCTCCACCATGACCTCTATGTTTGTTTTACTGGGCACTATATTGTACATGGTAAATATATTCAAAGGTCTCTGTGTTAAGAGTTTAGTCCTTAGCATGGCATTATTTCAAGGGGATGAAATCTTCATAAGATTGGATCTAATGGGAGATTTCCAGGTCATGGAGGTACCCTTGAAAAGACTATGACATACTGATCTCTTTCTCATTTCCTGACTATCACAAGGTGGGCTTCTTGCTCTGCCATGGATTCTCACTGCTTGCCAGAGGCCCCACCACAACAGCACTACCTGAAATCTCCAAAACTGGGAGCCACAAGAGACCTGTCCTCTTCCGTTCATCTTAGGTGTTTTGTTATAGGAGCAGAAACCTGATGAGCCCAGAGATTATCTTTTTCTACTCTAGTATTTGCTCACGGGTCTGTAACAGTAGACATTTGCTCTGTCTGGACCTATGACTCTCTTCGTATGCATTAACTCCCCTGTCTCTTACATAAGTCAGTAAATTAGCATTGCTACTCTCAATTGAAAGTGAGAAAGCTGAGACTTAGCAAGTCAAGCAGAAACCCAACGTCACACTAGCTGTCAGTGAATTTGGGTTCCAACCTCATGACATAGGCACACACAGATAATGTGTGGGATTCTATAGAGCATCAAGTCCCATTAGCGTTAAAGAAACACTAACTAGAAAAAGAAATAACCTGAAAGAGAAATTATAGATAACTACTGCCAAGGAAAAGAGTTCATCCAATTCCAATGTCTCACTGGGAGTTTTCTTCTGGCAAAAGTGATTCTCGGAACCACCTATAAGATAAAACGCTAACTGCCATTTTATATCCTTCTGAGTTATCCAAGACTGCATCCCAAGGGCATCAAAAGGTGCAAACACTGGCTTGGGAGATGAGGAAATGTGCCAGGGTGATATGGCGTGAACACCTGGGTGTTTTCATGAATAAGAGTCCATAGAAAAGTCTGCTGTGAGGGTGGGAGGCATGGCTCTTACAAAAGCCTTGTTTCTTACCACGGGTGTCGAGCTGCCTGCTCACAGGTGTATCTTTTATTTGGGTCTTTCTCCATCAGATTCCGAATGAAGTCTTTTGCTGTTCAAAAAGAAAGCAGAAGGAACAGAATCACCTTGAGGTTTGAAATAGGATGATTGGACACACTTGTGTTTTAAGCATGTATACCATTAAGAATATGAGACAGACTTTTTACCATCCCTATTGTACCCTGAACACAAAAATCACCAGTACTCAGGAAAAGCAGAGCCATGGCTGGCACTCCAACTCGGACCCAGTGAATGGAGAGGTGGCAGAGCCAGGCTGGGACCCTGACTTCTGGCTCTAGGATCTTTTCTGTTAGCTACTAAGGATGCCTTTGGTTTAGAGAATAAAGGAAATGATCTTCATAATTGCATGCCTCTTCCATTCACCACTGCCTTATAGAGAGATGCTTTTGGGACATCCCCTAAATGTGTTATAGACATAACTGTCCAGTAAGCTCACTAAGGAGCTGCAAAGCCACCGGGTCTCTTGTGGCTCCCAGTTTTGGAGATTTCAGGTAGTGCTGTTGTGGTGGGGCCTCTGGCAAGCAGTGAGAATCCATGGCAGAGCAAGAAGCCCACCTTGTGATAGTCAGGAAATGAGAAAGAGATCAGTATGTCATAGTCTTTTCAAGGGTACCTCCATGACCTGGAAATCTCCCATTAGATCCAATCTTATGAAGATTTCATCCCCTTGAAATAATGCCATGCTAAGGACTAAACTCTTAACACAGAGACCTTTGAATATATTTACATAGAGGCCATGGTGGGGGGGGGGGAGCAGGAGGCAGACAGAGAGGGCTCAGTGGTAGATCCCTTCCCTAATACTAGGCTTTCCCTAGTACAAGGCTTTGGCTTTACTCCCCCATCATACATGTACACGAGCGCGCGCGCGCGCACACGCACACACACACACACACACAACCTTAATTCAGGAGAAAGTTCTAATGAGCACTATGCAGAACTATCCTGTATTTTGCCTGTCCTCTTCCACAGCACTTCCTCCAGGCCATTAGCCCTCTGCAGGGAACCTGCTCAGAAGCACTGTGGTAACCCAGTCCACAGCATTTTAATTCACCACTCCTGCCCTGCTTTTGTTGAGTCTCTTTTGTGTTTCAGGAACTCTGGGGATGGCTTTAAAGTATTCACTCTATTTTCTCTACAATAACCCTGGGAGGTGGGTTTTCTGTTCACTTCAGAGATAAGGAAATAGTAACTGAGTAAAGACACCACAGCCAGCTAACGGCAACACCAGGGCTCTAGCCGGAAAGGTCAGACTCCACAGTGAATGCTCTTCATTCTATAAGAGATGAGCAGTGGCAGAGGGTAGAGAATCAAGGGAAATGTTTTCCGGAAAAGTGAATAATTCTGATCAGATGTCATCGAGATGCTTCTTAGTAACCTTGGATACTGGGTCCATGTATATGATGACACTTAGTAACCTTGGATAGTAGGTCCATACATATGATGACACTTGGTAACCTCAGATAGTGGGTCCATGTATATGATGACACTTAGTAACCT